TCTTTGAAAATGCTTAATTTCTGTTTCGATTGATTTATTTTTTGTTTAAACTGAATAAATAAACTTGAAAGATGTGTAAACACAGGTGTTAGCTTAAATTGTGAAAGAGTTCATCAAACAACGTGCCTATACATACGCGTATTGTATCTATATCTAAGAATACTATATCATGCATTTATATATATTATGGTGGTGTAATCAATAAGGTACATGCCATTGGTTGGTTGATTGGTTAGTTAGTTGGTCAGTTGTTTAGATGGTTGTTTGGTTGGTTAGTTGTTTGGTTGGTTTGTTGATTAGTTGATAGGTCGGTTAAATGGTTGATTAGTTGGACAGTTGTTTGGTTGGATAGTTAGATTTGGTCAGTTGGTCAATTGGTTGATACCTTTATACGAATCCAAACTTACGTTATATAATATACCAACACATAATTACACACACTCACACACACGGTCACACACACGCACACACGGTCACACGCACGCACAAGCACACAAACACACACACGCACACACAAACACATACACACAGTCAACTGGTTTCACACTGGACTACCTCTCGAAAGTAACGGAAGTGAAAGATTCCGAACGCAAGCACTCCCTCCTACATCATCTGGTCGTCATGGCAGCCGATCACTTCGGCCCTAACCAGGTCAGTGACCTATTTAACGAGGTGGAGGCTGTCCACAGGTGTGCCCGCATCGATTACGACGAGGTCAAGGAGAAAATTGAAAAGTTGGAAAGGTCATGCAGGGGCTCCTGGGGTCACCTGAGGTCAATCTCCATGCATGATAATGATGAGGCCATGAAGAAAAGGTGATGATGACGACGATCGTGATAATGATGATGATGATGATAATAATATTAATAATAGTAATAATAATAATTATTATTATTATTTCTTTTGTAGTTTTTTGGTTTCAAAACGGTTCTTAATGTTTACGCGACTACAGGCTATCGAGTAGGATTGCTGACTTTGTGGAACGGACGATCGTCCTGAAGACCATTCACAAACGTCTCATTAACAAGTTAATTTATTATTATTATTACTATTAAATAATTTTTTAATTATTATTTTGAATAATTATGATAATTAATAATTATCCAACAGTTACTTCATTCATAAATTTTTGCCAATAAGATTCCACTCTCATAAACTCTAACCAATAAAATTCCACCATTTCAAAATTCCATCAAATGAGAGTGGACTTTCATAAATTCACCCAATAAAATTTCACCATCGTAAACTCTAACCAATAAAATTCAACTTTTTTAAAAAATTCAACCAATGAGATTGCACTTCATAAATTTCACCCAATAAGATTTTACCAGCTACTACTCTACCTGGGCTACCATGGCAAAGCGATAAAAAATACCAACGCGACACAGTTTTTCAAGTACATTTCTGACTTTTGCATGGAGTACAAGCTACTCAGTGCCAAGTATGCCAAGCACAAAAACAAAAAAGAACAACAACAACAGAAGTTAATACGCCAACAAGAGCAACAACTGCAACAACAACTTTTGTTGCAGCAATACAATCTGGCCGTCTCTATGGCATCTAAGTCAGAGGTTCGATCCAAGTTTTTTTTTGTCTAAAATCTAGTATGAACATTTCATCCTCATCATCACCATCGTCTTCACCATCATCGTCTTCACCATCATCGTCATCACCATCATCATCGTCGTCGTCGTCCTCATCATCATCACCCACATTTCAAAATAGTCTCAACTAGTTAGCTGCGGCAACGAGACTGACGTCACTTCCGGCGGCGATGATAATTATCAGCACGACGATGACGTCATGGTGTCCACGTGGTTCGATACTGATTATGTCGTTCCTAAGGCGGCCTCCACTGGTTTGTTGATTAGTGGATAGATGGATGGATAGATGAATAAATAAAGATTCAAAAAATGTCATTAAATAACAAAACTTTTACATACCTATATTTATTAAGTTATATTTAAAATGAATTTTTTACAAAATCAACATTTTTATATCAACAGACACGCAAGCAAAACATCACACACGCACACATCATTCAACGTGAAACAGTCTTCAAATCTTGCCTAAACGGCATTCGAACCACGCCACCACGCCACAACTATCTAAAAACGTAGCCACTATACCGCCTGAGCTATCAACGCAACTAACAAACTGTACATTTCACAGGACAATTAAAACCCTCTCCATCGTCCTCATCATTATACGGATCTGAAGCCGAAACAACTGGCGATGAAGATGACAACAACAACAATCACGATGATGATGATAATTGCGTGATGATGATGATAAGAGCATTCAAGAGACCATCATCGTCGTCGTCGTCGTCATCACGTCGTAGTAAGAGTAGATCCAATGCGAGACTGTCGTCATCGTCGTCTTCACTGGCGTCTACGTCATTGTGTTAGTGGTGTTGCCGCTGAAGCTGCTGCTTCTGCTGCTGCTGATGATGATATGATAATATTGATGAAAATGATTTGTTGATGATGACGATAATTATGATAATGAATATTTCTCGAGTTAAGGTAGAAATTATGTGCACATTTAACTATGAATATGACGTCGCCAATGATGATGATGATGATGACGTTGATGATGATGATAATAATGATGATTGATAGATATCTTAATATAACTCCAGGGCGATCTACACTGACCAATAGGGATAGATCTGTGTACTGATTCTAAAAATAGCAGCCAATCATATCAACCGTACCCTACCGAATGGATATATTACGTTTTTAGGGATAATGTTGTGATTATAGTTAACCCCGTTAATATTATTATTGTTATTATTATTATTATTGTTATTATTATTATTATTGTGCATTTAGTTGGTTTTCTTGTATTTTTGTGGTTTTTTGTACTTTTAAACTGCATATAGCAATTCGGTGTTGTAAGTACTGCAGATTATAAACATAGATTTATTGATTAACTTATTAACACGTTCATTCGTTCGTTCGTTTATTCATTCGTTCATTCATTCATTCATCCGTTCATTCATTCATCCGTTCATTCATTCATTCATTCATTCATTCATTCATTCATTCATTCATTCATTCATTCATTCATGAACATTATCATCATCATCATTCTCATAGCCATTAGTATTGGGTACGACTAGTATTAATATGTTTTATGATCTTTATTTATAATTAGTTTATCTTTATTTTTGATTTTAATTTGGAATTAATTCTGTTCAGATGGGTTCATGTTCCTAATCAAAATCAACGCTAACGTGATTCACTGATTCTTAAAACTGAAACTAACAGTGCCGAAATATAATATTAAGGATTGTAATAGTGATAGTAAAAGTGTCAGTAACCTCCAACAACTCCTACTGCTGCTACTACTGCTGCTACTAGTACTACTAATAACCTTGCTACTACTGCTACTACTACTACTACTAATAATAATAATAATAATAATATTAATAATAATAATAAAGAGCTCGTATACGTTACTGACACAGTTTTTTTAAATATATGATAACAATAATATCAAAAATAATAACAATATAAATAAAGTTGTGTAATAATAATATTTATTATGATCGTAACAATAATAACATTGTTTACCCTTCTTTTAATGAAACAAGTTTTTTGTATGTGAATATTTTGACCGAGAGAAGAATGAATAAATTTATGAATGAGTCGTGAATTAATAGATGAATTAACGATTTGATAAATAAATGGATGAATGAATGAATGAATGGTTGGAGGAGTGCAAGAGTGAATGAATGAATTAATGAAGGAACAATTACGAATTATATGAAAAAGTGACGAATAGTAAAAGAAATAAATTTATATATAGGTTCACTAGTCACAACATAAAATATATATATATATATATATATGTTTTTAGTTATTTATTCATTTATTCGTTTGTTCATTCATTCATTCAATCACTCATTCATTCAATCACTCATTCATTCAATCACTCATTCATTCAATCACTCATTCATTCAATCACTCATTCATTCAATCACTCATTCATTCATGAGTTTTACAGACTTTAATACACTTCTCTATCATTATTATTATTATTAGCATTCTTGTTGTTATTTATTCTTTGTTTTCTTTTGCTGTTGTTGTTGTTGTTAGCGTTCTTTCTGTTTTTATTGACATTTTTATTATCTTTTTTATTCTTGGAGGCCATCTGTCGACAAAATTCCTCGTTGCCCCCACGGTTCGCATGCTCGTTTAATTTCATCACCAACAATTTGACGTCTTTGGTAACAGGCTGAACTGACGTCAAGTAAAATTTAATTTCTTTCTTGGGTTTGCCGTTCCTGTTAGTTCCACTTTCACTTTCGATTTCTTTGTAATTTCCCATCAGCAGGTAGCTAGAATTGCCGCGTTTTCCATTTATAGTTTCCAAGTGAGCACAATCGCAGTTGGCTCCGTCGATCAAATAGAGAAGCGATTTGCGCAATTTTCTCTTAAGCGCTTCATCAGTTTTATCTTTATTTCCATTGTTGTTGTTGTTGTTGTTGTTGTTGTTGTTGTTTGGGTTATTTATTTTTAGTACTTTCAACTTTTTTTCGTTTAGATTCACTTTTATGTCGTCTCCAATGACGAGACTGAGATTGATCTTAGCCGACAGGGCTGAAATGTTTATGAGAACATTAAAGAAAAAGTTAAGTTATGTCGGGAATGATGATAGTTGAATTGATGTGATCATCATCATCATCATCATTGCCGTCGTCGTCATCATCATCGTCGTCGTCATCATGATATAATCATTAAAACCAACATCACCTTCTTCTTCTCCATCGCCATCGTCATCACAAATATCATCATCATCATCACAAACATCATCATCATCATCACAAATATCATCACAAATATCATCATCATCACAAACAACATCATCATCATCACAAATATCATCATCATCATCGCAAACATCATCATCATCATCGCAAGCATCATCATCATCATCATCAAGCCTCACCAAAATCATTAGAGCAGAAAGCACTCGTCAGGTCCTTGTAACTTTTCAAACGCTTGCAAGCCTTGCATTTGCCTGAGTGGTGATGATGATGATGATGTTTTTGTTGTCGTGATGATAATGATTGCGGTTGTCGTTGTTCATGATAATGATTACGATGCAAATAACCATGATGATGATGATGATGACGATGGCGAGAATGATAGTAATGATAACAACAAAAATGTGAAAAATCGACACAATCCGAGAATATGGAATATGGAAATAAGACGAAACAAAAAACCCACCCCCTCTTCCACCATCCATCCTTCTCTCTCCTTTATTTCCACCACCACCGCCCACTTTTCTATCATCATCTCTCTCATTATTATTATCATCATCGTCGTCGTCGTCGTCATCATTCTTCTCAACGCTGACGCACAGCGTTTGATTCTGTAAGGGGAATTTATCGCAGTCCAGCATATCGGGCCACTGGAAGCCGTGTCTCGCCATCTCGCCCTCACAGCCATTTCGTACCTAAATTGTAATTAACAATAATAAGGAGAAGAAGATGAAGGTAAGTTTTACTACTATACTTTACTTACTACTACTGCTACTTACTATAACTCAGAAAGCATGCGCTCAACTAAAAACTTATCAACTTCACTATCCCACACACGCACAGTGCATACCTCCTCGCAGAGGTTTTGGCAGGGGTCCAATCCGGACGGTCCGTGGCAGACGGGAGCAAATAGGGAGCACAGGAGCGCCTGGGCGTTTGGGTGACACTTTTTGGCAATTAGTTGCACCCACTGCTTGGCCTCCGTGGTCACCTTATTATAAATAGAAATATTTTGGCGGATTATGATTAGATGAGTGAATGAATGAATTAATGGATGGATGGCATAATGAATGATTGAATCAATAGATAAATAAATAAACAAATGAATGAATGATAGAATGAATGAACGAACGAATGAATAAACCTCGTGTAAAGTGTTGTGTTGCAATTTGTTGGGCATCATCATCATTTCGTAGCCGAGACCTTTGCACAAGGTCAAGTTCGTTGGCATGGCAACGCACCTGGCCGAGCTCCTCGACAGCCAATCAACTTTAGACAAATTCCAATCTTTCAGAAAGTTGGATTCTGATTGGTGGAATGGATCCATGACGTCATAATCACGTTGCTGCTGCTGCTGCTGGGGTTGAAACTGTTGCTGTCGGCGATTGTTTCTGTGTTGTTTTCTTTTGTTGATGTTTTTGTTGTTGTTGTTGTTGTTGTGACGAGTGTTGAAATTATCAAACTTGTTGTTGTTGTTATCCAAAGCAGAAATCAAAGCCAAACAAGTCAAAGAAAGAAAAAACAAGATGAGCAGATGTTGACGAAGGTTATTATGAAGCATTTTTTCTGTTGTTGTTGTTGATGATGATGATAATGATGTTGTTTAGTAATGATGATGATGATGATGATGTTGTATGATGAGATTGATGATTATGTTGATGTTATTGTTATTATAATCCCCACATAAAAGTTATTTATAATGCGATGTTGTTGTTATATCCGCCCTTGCAGTAGTAGTGGTAGCAGCAGCTGTAGTAGTTGCTGCAGTAGTAGTAGTAGTAGCAGTAGTAGTAGTAGTAGCAGTAGTAGTAGTAGTAGTAGTAGTAGTAGTAGTAGCAGTAGTAGTAGCAGCAGTAATAGTTGTTGTTGATGTTTGATTTAAATCGATCAAATGTTGTTCTTCTTGTTTCATTGAAACTTTCATCTAAATCATCTTCTGAAGCTGCCAAATAATTTAACGTTATAACATTTAATACGTGACTGAAAGATAGTAGTGAAAGTAACAGTAATAGTAGTAGCAGAAGAAATATAAGCAGTAGTAGTAGCAGTAGCAGCAGTAGCAGCAGCAATAGCAGCAGCAGTAGCAGCAGTAGTAGCAGCAGTAGTTGTAGTAGCAGTAGCAACAACACTACAAAAGAAAAGAAGTGTTTTAGAGTTACTCACATCTCAAAATCTTCAAATGTGTAAATAAATATCATTCGAATTCTCTTATCAACACTTGCATCTAAGGTGTATGCATATACATACATACAATATATATATATATATATAAAGGTATGCATATATATATATATATATGATCATATATACATATATATATATATATGATCATGTATATACATTATATATATGAGATGCGTGTATGAATGTATATATACATATATATTTATTTATACATATATATAAATTTATATTTATATTATTTATACATATATATAAATATAAATTTGTTTTCAACAAATTTATATTTATAAATATCAGTGTGTGTTTGTGTTTGTGTGTGTATGTTTGTTTGTTTGTGTGGTTTTGCATTTAAGCTCTTGTTAATCTTTTCATAAGCAAAACATTGTGAGAAATAATGTACATATTGCACTATTATTAGATAACCTAAACTTTTTATACTTGTAAATAAAGTTCTATGTATATATGTAGAGAGAGAAGGAAAGGAAGAAAAAGAGAAAAAGAAAAAAAGAGAGAAAAAGAAAGAGAGAAAGAGAGAGAGAGAACTTTTCCACGGACACATCAATGCAATCTTTGATGTATAAATAATCTTCGAATAGTAAGTTAAATAATATTTTCCCAAGCTCTCAACACTCCCTTCTAAACTTCACTATCTCTTTTCCTTCTTTGCCGGTATCATTATCTGCTTTCTTTTATCACTTTATCTTTTTTTCTTTCTTTCTCTTTCTCTTTCTCTCTCTCTCTCTCTTGCTCTCTTTCTCTCTATAAATATCTATCTATTTCAAACTTATGTGTCTTTGTTATCAAAAAGCCATCAAACATCCATCATTGCAATCGTCATCATCATCATCATCGTCGCCGTCAAAATCATCATCATCATCGCGAGTATCATTATCATCACATCATCATCATCATCACAAACATCATTATCATCATCTCATTATCAACTTCGCTCACACATTTCATTTCAATCTTGTAGCGGCTCCGCCTTTATGCAATCCATTTTCTATTTTTTCTCTTTTTTTTTTTTTCTTTCTCTCTCATTTGTTTTTTCTTTCTTTCCCTCTCTCACTTTCTTTCTCTCTATCCTATTTCTCTTTCTTTCTCTCTCTCTCTCTCTCTCTCTCTCTCTCTCTCTCTCTCTCTCTCTCTCTCGTTATTCTTCTATGTCTCAACGTTTATATTTTCATTCTTCCATTTACATTCACCTCTGATAGTTTTATTCATTTTTAACGAGGAATTTATTTCATTCACTTCATCACGACGACAACAATGATGATGATGCTTGTTGTGATGATGATGATGTCGATAGTGATGATGACGAAGAAGACGACGATGGTAATGATGATGATGATGACGAAGAAGACGACGATAATGATTAGGATTATGTCTGGTAGCAACACACTGCCAAATAGAATAATAGGAGATGTGTTAGAAAGCTTAAGCATCGAATTATCGAATTAGAGGTACACGTACACACACGCACGCACAAACATACATACAAACAAACATACATACATACATACATACATACATACATACATACATACATACATACATACATACATACATACATACATACACACAAACATACATACATACATACATACATACATACATACATACATACATACATACATACATACAAATTCTTGCAGAGAGCAACTAAGTAACTAGGTGCAAATGTTTTTGTAATTAAACACAATCAAATGCTGGAAAAATTATTTGCATGTCTGTATGCATGCATGTGTATATGTTTGTATGTTTGTACTTTTGTGTTTGTATTTTTTTATTTTATCATTCACTCACTCTTTCTTTCATTCTTTTATATTCGTTTCATTCAATCACTTAATTGACGACTAAATTCTTTTATCCATTCATTCATTCGTTCGTTCGTTCGTAAGTTCGTTCGTTCGTAAGTTCGTTCGTTTATTCTTCTTTCTGATCAATTCTAATTTTTTTTTTATTGAACCATCACTTATTCATTCAATCGACCATATGCACTTTCATTTTTTTCACATCCATGCACTCAGCCGTTCAAACTTTTCAGTCAAATCTGAATAATTTGTCAATTCGTTTTTTCGTTCGTTCCTTTTTCTCCCATACATACATACATTCATTCATTCATTCGTTCGTTCATTCATTCATTCATTCATTCGTTCGTTCATTCGTTCGTTCGTTCATTCATTCATTCATTCGTTCATTCATTCATTCACTCATTCATTCATTCACTCGCTTAGCACACAGCATGAAGTGTTTTTTCAAACAGACAACACCTCAACTCAAATGCAGTACTTAATTTAGTACATCGCAATTAAGGAGATGATGATAATTCTCTTTAAGATGATGATGATGATGATGATTCTTGTAAAAATGATGATGATGATGATGATAATTCTCTTTAAGATGATGATTATGATGATTCTTGTAAAGATGATGATGATGATGTTGACAGTGGTGATAATGTTGATGAAGAAAATTGTGATTAAAATAATTATTAATAATATTACATTCGTGATTTATTAAACATTAAACTGATGATGACAACGACGATGATGTTATATCAAATATACACTCGCATACAGACACACACACACAACACACACACACGCACACACACACACACAAACATACATACATACATACGTTGTATTATAGTATTGTATTGTATTGTGTGTGAATTGTGAGACAATCCGAATGCCTTGTTTGTTTGTTTAATTAGCGAAGCACTAGAGGTTTAATTAGAAGGACGACGACAATGAGAAAACAACAATGATATCAATCACATTCAATTGTCGTTAACGTCAACAACAACTTCAATAGCAACAACATCAACAACAACAACATCAGCAACAACATCAACAACAACATCATCAACAACAACAACATCATCATCAACATCATCATCAACAACATCAGCAACAACAAAATCAACAACATCATTATCAACAACAACATCATCAACAACAACAACATCATCAACAACATCAACATCAACAACATCAACATCAACAACAACAAAATCAACAACATCATCATCAACAACAACAACAACATCAACAAAGTTTGCACCATCAACAACAACAACAACGATAACAATAACAATTAGAACAATAACAACGACGTCATAAACGTCAACAACAACAACTTTGTTAACGCCGACAACAACTACATCAGACACATTTAAACAAACAAACAAAACGTCACACACACACATACATATATACATATATAAATAAACACACACACACATACAATTGCATAATAATAATAATCTTCACAGATTTCATTCCTTTATTTTAATCCATCGTTCGATCTTTCGTTCATTCTTTTATTCAAACGTTTATTATTTTTATTATTATAATTATTATTATATTATTATTATTATCATTATTGCACCTGTGATGACTTATGAGGTTTCTTTATGTTCATGCACACATACAACACACATACATAAATACAGAAATACATGCATACATACATACATACATACATACATACATACATACATACATACATACATACATGCATGCATGCATGCATACATACATACATACATACATACATACATACATACATACATACATACATACATACTCCCATACAAACATAGAAGCCCTCAGCGTTGTTATTCAAAGAAATTAATTAAAACGACAAGCAATGGTCGGTTGGTTTTATTGAAAATTTTTTTTTGTGTAAGTTATTGACGGGTAGATGAATGAATGAATGAATGAATGAATGAATGAATGAATAAATGAATGAAAATATGAATGAATGAATAAATGAATGAAAGAATGAATGAATGAATGAATGGATGGATGAATGAATGGATGAATGAATGAATGAATGAATGAATGAATGAATGAATGAATGAATGAATGAATGAATGAATGAATGAATGAATGAATGAACGAAGGAACGAACGAAGGAACGAACGAATGAGCAAACGAACGAACGAGTGAATTAATAGATGAATTGACGAAAGTTTTGAGTAGTTAGATCGATCAATGTATTAATGCATGAATGAATGACTGAATGAATGAACGAATAAATGTATGGATGGATTGATTTATAGGTTAATAAATAAATCAACTAAAGAACAAACCGAAAAACAAACAAATTAATGAATGATCGAATAAAATGTGAAAAAAAATGGATGAATTAAAAACTAACAACAATAAATAAATGAATGAAAATCACACAAAAGAGTTCACTGCACGGTTACTTATCTTGATGAAACATCCAGAGACGAGAACGGATGGACGGGCGGACGGACAGATGAATAAACGAATGAATGAACGAAAGAATGAACAAACGAACGAACAAACAAACATACGGGCAAACAGACATCACGTATAATCAGATAAAGTTAAACCATAACAATAAAATCACCAGCTCTAAGACTCTAACTAATACCTAAACTACTAAATAAAATAACATGTTACATTTGTGTCTGTGTGTGTGTCTGTCTGTCTGTGTGCGTGCGTGCGTGTGTCTGTCTGTGTGCGTGCGTGCGTTTGTCTGTGTGTGTGTGTTTACAAAAAATAAGTAATTTTATGAAAAAATTTTCATCAATTAAGTTAAATTCCACACAAATTAACACACACGTTTAAACTGGCGTATAATTTAGATTACTATATATGATTATGAGTGCGTGTGTGAGTATGTGTGTATGTTTGCGTGTGTGAGTGTGTGTGTATGTTTGCGTGTGTGTGAGTGTGTGTGTTAATGGAGAACATGTTTACATTAGAAAACAGATCAGATCGTAAAAGTTTTTATTTATGGAATGACGAACTCAATTTTTAATCATTTAAAAATATTTACATTGCACACTTTCTGATGTTTTCATCATCATCGTCGTCGTCGTCATCTTTCTCATCTTCTTCTTCATCATCACCATCATCGTCATTGTGGTAATGCTAATGGTGAACATCATCACCAATCATCTTCATCGCTTTCATCTTCGAGGCCTTGTAGCATAACATAACCATAACGTAACGAAACGAAGAGCTAGATAGAGCGGACTGATCGTTACATTGATACGTCTCCAGAGCAGAAAAGAAAATCACAAAAAAATAATTAACCCGAAACATATTAAACGATAAAAACAAGTATAGTTATCATCATCACCATCATCATCACCATCATCATCATCATCATCATCATCATCATCATCATCATCATCATAATCATCACCATCATCATCATCATCATCATCAAAATTACCATCATCATCACCCTTATTGTTATATTTTAATCATCATCTTTATCATCGTCATCATTATAGCAATCATCGTCATTGTTCTTCGACACGCCAATCACGACGGCGATGAAGACGACGATGACGATGATGAAGACGACGATGACGATGATGGAGAAATCACGTGCGTGAGAGAGAGAGAGAGAGAGAGAGAGAGAGAGAGAGGCTAACAAAACACAAGACAATAATAATAAACGATTATGAAAAAAGACGTTGTCGCTAATGACGACAAAAGAGCTAATGACGACGACGATGACGTCATGCTGTTGTATACGTCATCGTTCAAATTTCTTACGTGGGCAGACGATAGTAAGGAGAGGTAGGCGTTGTATCTGATGGTTGGATGGTTCGTTGATATCATATTCGCTATGTGGCTGGCTTCTTGCTGACAGGCTTGCACCTAGCGAACCAAATAAGTTTTCATTTTTATACTTTAATTTTGCTCGCACAACTTTCAATTAATTTCACCAACCAAATTATTGGATGCAAACTGATTGCTAGGCGTTACCAAGACAACCAGATCGCCATCCATAGATATGTAAACATAGATCCGACATTCTCTGACCGAAAGCAAAGATTCTAAATTGTCCGCCAAACCGGAAAGAGTTATTCCGTTCTCCTGATTCATTCTCAGAGTCGTAGCCAGTCTCTTGTTTATGAGCATGCGCAGTTCACTGGCTGGTTTGTAATCATCATCATCATCATCATCATTATCGTCGTCGTCACCATCGTCATCGTCGTCTTCAACATCGTCATCATAACCAACCACATATAGGACAGCAAGCACCAGGCGGTATGATAGACTGGCAGCCCTTGATCAAGTTATTTTTAGAGCAGGTGACCTTGGGACAGGTGACCTTTGACGACGTAGCATCTAATTTGCATACAAGAGTTTGAAACATTATCGTAAAATTGGTACCAATACAGTGTTCCTAGATGTAATAATGGGCCTTAATATCACTGTCTTTACGGTGCTCTAATTAATATTCATGAATATTATATTTAGCCTTAATGATTATTCATGAATGCTATAATTAGCCCTACTTAATATTCACAAGGGGCGACCAACCAATGAAGTGTGGTAGAATGTAGCAGGGTGAATAATAATCGACTGGAACGTGGTGGCATCTGCACTGACACTCATTTGCATACGTCACCCCATCCATGCCACACACCTTGGCGTTGGTCTTGCAGGGCGTCTGATGATGGTGGTAATAATGATGATGATGATGGTGGTGACGATGATGATGATGAAAACAATGGTGAAGAAGATGATGAAGATAAAGATGAAGATGAGATGTCACCTGACAGTTTCTCCCGCAAAGTTTGCCGACCTCATCCCTAACGGCCTCACACAAAGTGTGATAGTCACGTGCTTTTGTGACGTCACAGTACGCAGGTGACGGTGATGATGACGAATATGATGAGGATGATGATGGTGATCGCTGTTGACACTTCACTGCGTATGTTTTTTGAGATTATCATTTCAAGATAGGAATTGAAATTAATAATTTGCAGAAATTGATGATGAAACTGATGATGATATAATGATGGTAAGGATGATGATGATGATAAAAATGGTGATGATGATCACAACGACGACGATGATGACGTCATATGGTTGTAATTATGGATGCAGTAAACAAACATACCGCACTGATATTGTCTGCACTGGTTGTGGCTGCTGAATGGACCACCAAGACAGATTTGAGGAACCGATATACACCTGTCATCATCATCATCGTCGTCGTCCTCATCATCGTCATCATCATCGTCATCATCGTCATCATCGTCATTATCATCATCTTCTTCATCGTCGTCGTCATCACCAACATCGTCATCATTATCATTATCAACAACATCGTCGTCATCATCATCTTCTTCTTTATCACCATCATTTTTCAACACCACCACCACCATCATCACAACCTCTCTCCTTTGGGGCATGGTTTGCTGTGGCAGTGATCAATACGGACACACGAATCTTGCATTATTAATTGCTGCTGCTGATAGCCATGACACCTTCAGAATTAACATAATTTATTCATTTTTTTCCCAACGATAAAGTATGTTAATCATCCAATTAATAAATAATGTTAATCAGATTTGTTGATAGAGCTCTAGGGCTAACTTGGCTATGCATAAATTAGGAAATGTTTGCCCGTTGTTCGCGCACACTGGTCTATACTGGGATGAACAGTTGCACGGCAAACCTGCAGATTATGATAATGATGATTTACACTGATGATGATGATGATAACTCACTCATTCACTCACCTGTAATCCATTTCCGGTTTTGCTTCTGATAGCCATAATAAGTGTAGCTCGGCATGACTTGATTGACATTTTGCTCGGTGCTACAATCTCGTCTGGTGCACGTGACTTCAGCATTTCCGCACAGACACGTGTTGCAGGCGTTGTTGTAGACGGTGTTGTGTTCTGTTTCCGGTTTCGGTTTCGTTTTGTGGTTGTGATTTTATAAAATTGAACGATGATGGTACGGGTTAAACTAGTCAGTGATGATAAAGATAAAAAAGAAAAGGAGTAATAATCTTGATGAAGACGGTGATAATGAAGAAAATGATGATAAAGTTAAAACAAAATGGCGACGATGGATGACGTCACCCATCAACTGACCAATAATCTTGCCGGATCTGAGATGGCAGTGAATTCCCCCACCGCCCATACACACGTTGCTGCAGTTCAGCCAGTTGCCGTAGTGACCACACACGCACAACCGGATGCAGTTGTTGTTCGTGACGTCATCGAGACGGGTCAAAGATCCTGGATAGGCTAAGTGAGTCATCAGCTCTCCTATTGGACAGCCTACAAATATGTCCAAAGAATGTTATCAAGGCGTTTAAATTATTTATTGTTTTATAATTTTATAATTTACGTTTTGTCATGAAATATTTTTTATTAATTACTAAAATATAATAATTACCACCTGGTCTGCAGTAATATGACGCGCAAGAACCATCAGCCCCATCGCTGACGTCATCATCGCCATCATCATCATCGTCGTTGTCGTTATCATTCAAGTAATAATCATTAATCGTAAACTTCTTGCTGGTCATTTTTCTAGCGCCTGCTTTTGTAGCGCCCCCTTTTGAAATTTTTTTTTTGACGCACGGCCGTCTGGAAACTACGCAGACTTGCTGGCGGGAGCACGGGTTAGGGTTGCACGGTGTGGTGACGTCACCGATCTGGCGGTCTTGGGGGCGATCAGTTTTGGGCTCTGGGAAATGGCAGGCGTTGTGGATTGATAATTATAAAATAATTATAAATAATTATACTAGCGATAACAATAAAATAAATAATAATAATAACAATATCAATAAAAAAAATAATAATTTTTTTAATAATAAAAAAATAAAAACTTAGATAATAGTCGAGAGATAGGCAGTCTTTATCGTCATCATGAACAGACAGAACGTTGCAGACGTCAGACGCTGTCGTCGACGACGTCTCTGTCGGAAGCTTCGTCCTGTCTAGACAGGTTTCCAGAATGTCTAGACAGTCTTTTCTTTAATTAATGGAAAGTTATTTCATTTTATTATTGTCTACTAATAAAATATGTAGTAATTTGAAATTATTTTCAAAGTTATTTTTTCTTATCAATAACATGAATTGACAAACGAACTAACGAACGAACGAATGAACGAACGAACGAACGAACAAACGAACGAACGAATTAATTAAAATTAAATCAAAAGAAAAATTAAAAAAAGAAGTAATTTAAGTAAAAAATCTAGCATCGTCACGGCATAAATAAAGCTTATACTCCGCAGTCGAAATTTATAGAGTTGGATTTTTTCATTTTTGTTTCATTATTTTTAGCGGCGGAAAATTTTGTTCGTTAATTCATTCATTTTCTGTTGATTCAATAATTCATTCGTTCGTTCGTTCATTCATTCATTCATCCATTCACTCCTAACTTGCAGATGAGACTGGTAGAACCGCCTACACACGGCTTCAGATGCAAAATGCAAGATACTGTTCTCCATTTTTCAGGCTGGCATCTTCTCACGTCTTCGGATGAATGAATAAATGAATAAATGAATGAATAAATAAATAAATGAATAGAGAGAAGATTAAAAAAAATGAATAAATCAAAGAGAAAATATATGTATATAGCAACAGACTCAAAGTTGCTTAAGATTCCTCTATTTGTTTCTTCAAAACCGTCTTAGATGTGTATATCATTAATTCAATCCATCAACCACTGGCGAGCCAATAATAATTATTAATGATATTATTAATTATTTTATTAATTGCTATAAATTATAAATTATTATAAAAAAAAACCAAAAATATCTCACCCTTAATTGGGATATCGTAAGACAGTAGCGTAGGCAGTGATATATACCCGGTGGTCCAAGATTGAAAGGTGCTTCTGGCGTCTATGTCAGACTTTTTGTCGCACTTTCTGAATGAGTTTGTCGGCTGGTCAGTCAAATGTTTGCAGTAAGTTAAGTTAGTACAGCCTACACGACACCTGTCAATCACTGTGTTTGTGTGTGTGTGAGTATGTGTGTGCGTGTGTGTGTGAGCGTGTGTGCGCGCGTCTGTGTGTGTGTAGTTGTATTTATTACCACCACTGACCGTTTTCAAGACATGCGTTAAGTTGGAACTCCTGCTGATTGTTAGTGCAGTGGGCGTGAAATGACGTCATCGTATCCGACCAGGAGTGCTTGAAAGTCTGATTGTGATTGGTCCAAATTGTATAGGTCAAATTATTATGAATGTTAATGAGATGTATATATATACGTGATAATATCAAAACAATTAGTTTAAAAGTGAACTTACCTTTGTACACAATTCAGCGCATTTTCTGGTAACGGCCCTGGCACAGCACTGAAGTTTGATGACGTCAATCTCTGTACTGACCGGTCCGCCATCTTGTTTATTTACGCTTGCGGGCTGGTTGAGAGAATTTTTTTGCTTTTTCTTCAACTGTCTTTGCGGGGAGGAACTGCTGAAGAAACACTGCCACATCGGATTCTGGTAGGTAGATGAGTTAATTGATTAATTAATTAGACAATTAATTAATTAATTGGTTAATTAGTTAATTAATTATTTATTTCAATGAGTATTTTATTTTAAACTGAAAACCATGAAGACATCATTACCGAAAAATCGAGATTTCCGCAGTGTTCGGCAAGACGTTCGACCAATCGGTCCTCGGACAACATCTCACTACTATTCGTACCGGATGTCACATCCCTACTCGTCAGCACATCCCTACATTTGATGACGCAATCAAGATTAGGATGGTGGGAACAGCAAGCGACATCTTCTGCACGTTGGATCAGTTAAACTTTTAATATTAATATTTGTGAAAATTATTTTTAAATAATAAAAAAATAATATTTTTATTACTTTATTTAGCGCCAACTTATGAAATTAAGAATTAAAAAATAACGTCAATTATATTATATCATTAGGTAGCTTCATTCTTTGACGCCAAAATGATATCATGTTGTTTATACAAATCAAGTAAAATCTGTCAAATAGACAAAAAAATTGTCAAATGAATAAATGAATGAACGAACGAACGAACGAACGAACGAACGGATGAATGAAGGAACGAATGAACATTGAGCAAGCATACAAACGTACGAACCAACGAACGAACTAACAAACGAAATAATTAATCTCTCCATAAAATTACGTTGTGAATATTTGTTAGCCGACTGGAAATTTTTTTGTATGCATTTGGCGACTTGTTGGTTGCAGTTCTGGTAGGCCGCCCTCAGTTGCACGGGGTCAGGAGGCGTGTCCTGGATAAAGAGGGCCCGACACGACGTCTGGCATTCGTCAGACTGAGTTGATTGACAGCACTTTTTGCCTTCTAATTGGATCGTTTTTTTGAGGTTTTTTTTTAAATATTTCAAAGCGGATGAAAGGTTGGAAGGATGGATAAATAGGTGGATGAATGAATGAATAAAAAATGAATGAATGAATGAATGAATGAAAAAAAGACAAAATGGTTACATGATTGAATAGTTGAGTTACGATAAAGCTAACAACGATGGTAACTGTTTAGCATATTGGATGAAAATGATGACAATAGTTGAAAGAATGGGGAAGTTAATGATGATAATAGTGATAAAGACGATGATGATGATGATGATGGTGACGACGACGATGATGATGATGTTTGACTTGCCCTCTTTCTTCCGTATGCAGTTGAACATGGAAGCTTCTACAGCATCCATGACGTTGGAGCAGTTTTGATGCAGTTCATCCATCGTGTTTGCCTGTGCATGGATGAATGGATAAATGGGTGAATGACATGGATGAATGAATGAATGATTAGATGAATGAATGGATGGATGGATGGATAGATGAATAAATGAATTGATAGATGAATGAATAAATTGATAGATGGTTGAATGAGTGACTGAATGAATAGATGAATGAATGGATGAATGTGTGTATGCATGCATAGTGTTGTAAAATGCGTACAGGTCTGCTAGGCCTTCTCTTATCTCATTTTGATATCTGGTTCTGTTTGTATAAGATCACAAGCAAAAAATAATAATAACACTAACAGTAATAATAGCAAAAATAATAATAATAATAACAACAACAATAATAAGAAATAATAATAATAAAGTAATTTATTTATGATCCATTTGTTGTTTGTATGCTATCGTTGATGATGTCGTTGATTGCTTTATCGTTCATTATTATTATTATTATTATCAGCAGCCGTAGTGGTAGCAGCAGTAGCAGCAACGGTAGTTGTAGTAGTAGTAGTAGCAGTAGTAGCAGCAGCAGTAATAGTAGTAGTAGAAGCAGCAGCAGAAATTTTTTATACACATACACACTTTCCAACTTATTAATTTCACAACCATACAAAGACGCAGGTACGAAACATAAACAAATACCATACAGGCAGACATACCTACAACATACATACAAAGTTATACAAACAAGCA